GACAAAAAAGCATTTAGGAAGAACCGGAAAATAAAGAGCTAAGGATGAAGGAGAGATGAAAAAAAAAGACAGTTGATAGGTTCGGAAGGGTAAACAGTGAAGTTGTGAACTAGTTTTTCCAACAGAAAACAGTACTTTTGACAGATGGTTAAAAACAGTATTCTATCTGTATTATCAACTGCAGCACTGAGAAGCAACAGCAGAGCTGCTCGTAGCAACAAGTTACGACTTCTAAAAAAAGCTACTAATATTGTTTACCGTAGACATCACCTCATCTTTTCTCTTCTCCACTGATCTGTTGATGGGAATTTTTTTCTAAAATTTTTTTCAATGCTTTTTTTTGCTTTATCTCAATTTTTTCTTGGCTGCCGTATTATTTAGTTTGACCGTTTAATTTTGTATTGGTCATTTTGACGTTTAAATTTTAATACAGAATTTGTTACCAAAAAAATTACTTTACTCCTTGTACGAAAAAACTGCTCTGCTTTTTTAGGAAGGGTTAAAAGTGAAAGTCATTAAAGTTCTACTTAAACAATGGAAACTTTTGGCTTTGTTGTTTTTGTTATAAAATCTCTATTTGTCAATTTCTATCACCGATACTGACTACAGAATAAATAAATAGTGGAAATTCTAGATCATATTTTTGAGTTATCGTCATTTTTTTTTTTTTTTTGTCTTTTATTTCTCCCAGTTGAACAATGTTTCTTTTTTTAAACTCGTTTAAATGAATGGATTAATTAAATGAATGAAAATTTTTTGAATAATATATTGTGAATTTCTTTTTTTTTTTTTTCGCCGTCATCACCATCATCAATTTCGGTACTGATTTTCTTCTGAAATCTGTTATTTTTAGGCACGATAAGTTAATTAACAAATAGCAAATAGGAAAAAACTGTTCAAAAAAGTGAACAAATTTCTGGTCACTGTATACAATAATACAATATTACCGAAAAAAATTTTTTACTCCAAACTCTAATGGGATTTGTTCAGCAAACATTATTGTGTGAAAAATTGTCAAATTATACAAATCCACAGCAACTTTACCACTGTTTAGTAGCTGTAGCTACGTTAATGTTGTCGCTACGCTGTCATCGAACCGGATACATATTCATTTAGCTTTGCCATCAAACATCTTTTTTATACCTCTCAAAATTTTATCAATTTGACTGTTGTACAATGTTCTTTTGGTTTCTCAAAACTGTAATAAATTTTAGTAATTATTTTGCTGTATTTTCCGCTTCTCTCTTGATTACACTTTATATCCAAACGGTAAAAACGGTACATATTTCGAATAACTTTCCCACTCTTTGACCTCATCTGCTATTCTTATCCCTATCCTGTGGCTGTAGCTGGTTATGTTTGCATTTTGAGACTGTTGATCACAACATAAACTGAGACCAGTGGGAACGATAGCAAAAAACTTTGTCAACAAATATTTTGTTGTCTCGATCATCACTCGTCACATGACTGCTTTCTTTCTTCAACTTTAGAGTTTTTAAACACGTTTTGAAAACCCCAAAAAACTTACGCGTTTACGCAACTTAGAGTACCATACTTTCAACCTGTATATAATTTATGAATACATAAGATAAGCGGTTATCTTTTTTTTCCTTCTTCTCCTTCTTTCTTTTTCTTCTTCTTGTAGTTAATTTGTCGTAGCATATCAGGGAAAAAGGTAAAGATGAGAAGTTTAACAAAAAAAAATTTTTTGTTTCGTGTTGTTTGCCTTATCTCAAGTTGTTGACAATTACCAATTTTTTTCATTCTGCGTTCTTTTTTGAACAAAACAAAAAAATTGACAAAGATCTTTTTAAACAAAAAAAAATACTTGATAAACTTTTAGCAATTTTAAAGTTGACTATAAGACTTCTATCAAAGTTTTCTGTACAGTAAACAATACCGTACTCTCTGAAAACGGGCAGAAAAAAAGTACCTTCTCATTGAAATTATATATTATTTCTGCCTTAATTTCGTTTATTTTGAAAATGTCGTTATAGAACAGATTCTAACTTATAAGTTTCAGCTATGACTTACTGCAAAACAATTTAACTCCAATAACCTTACCACTGATATCAGCAGATTAGCTGTTCATTCATCCTTTTAAACCTTCCTTATTTTAAGCCAGTCTTAAACAAATGACAAACTGTTATATAAACTATACATTCCATTTTTGTTCTACTCCGGTGAGTACAGAACAAAAACAAGCAATTTTCAAGCGCAAACTTTCAAATTAATAAGTGTTTATATATTTAAATTGACGCTAACAAAACCCGATCACAGAAATTATTATTCTTACAGCAAATTGCAAAATTCAATGAAGAAGAAGCAACAAATCTTCTGCAGTGGATTGCTGACCTTATTAAAGAAGATATAGACACCACTGGGACATTCCAAAACTTTGGAAATACCTTGAGAGATGGGACTGTCCTCTGCAAGTAAGACTTTACTGAAAAATTCATTATGAAAAACACCTTTACCCTCCTTCTCCTTCTCCTGCCCCATTCTCCTTCTCTAAACGTATTTTTCATGCGTATAACTGACAAAAAGCCAACCTCTTTGCTATTATTTCAAAAAAGTTCTAAAAAATTACTGAAGATATTCTTCACCTGAGAGGGCAATAAAAAATGGTGATACTGCAACCAACAAATAATAGTAGGCTGGTTTTGAAAAGTTAGAATGCTTGAACTAATAAAGGATTTCAGACTGCTAAATGCAATACAGCCAGGTACAATAAAGAAAATAATGAAACCGATGACAAATTTTAACTGCATGGAGAACATCAACCAATTCTGTACTGCGGTGCGAACTTTTGGAGTTAAAGATGAAGAAACCTTCCAGTCCGTTGATCTCTTTGAAGCTCGTGACTATTTTTCAGTTTGTGTTACACTACAGTCACTTGGCAGAGCAGTAAGTATTTTCTCGCCTTATAATCTCTACTGATTACTTAGTCCATATTCAGTTTAAATCTGATTGCCTCCACTTCAGATTGAAAAATCACTGTCAATCCCGCCACCAAAACAAATTTCAAAGGACAAAATATAACAAACGGACCCGTTATAGCTCGCCTCTTATGTCATGATTTACTAAATTTACTTACGCAACAATTATATTTATGATATAATTTCCAATGAACTTATTCCCAAGCGCAATTGAAGTCAAATGTAACAATCGGCCCAATGACAGCAATCTGCCAATTGCAGCCAAAAGAAACGTTACCCTACCCTAAAACTTCCACGTTTCTATAATCCACCCGCTATAACCTACAGCCACAAAAAAAAGTATGAGGTTACTTCAATCAAAACCAATTTGCTACAGCGGAACCGCTCAGCTAGAATACTTTAAACGATGACTACAGTCAAGCAACTCGGCATTCTGAAATATTACTAGCAGATTTATACAATAAATTACACCTACCACTGTCGCCCTCTTCCCAAATGAATTCAGCAAGCTAGACCTAAAAATATACAGCCAAATCGGTCGTCTAAACTAAAAAAAACTTCGTTCAAAAAATAAGGTTTTCTAGCCTTTGAAGTCCTCAGCAAATCATTTCATTTTATTTATCAACAAGAGATACAGATCCGTGAAAATTTGACAGAAAATTATGAATAAGGTTGAGAAGCAAAAAACAGGATCAACAAAAGAAATAAACAAAACCACACCCCTCAATAAATTGCTATCTGACCATTCAAAACTGAAAAACAACTGTCCTACTTTCCCTCAAGAAACAGCAACTAAAAAACAAAGGTTTGACCACCGTAAAAATTGTTTCATAAAATGTCCTAAACTCCCCTTGAATCTGCCTAAATTTCATAAACCACCTCCATCAACCTGTGAAAGGAGGTAAAAAATAGCCACAACCAAAAACAAACAAAAATTTCACGCTAAAAGAACTATGTTTCCCAGAGCACGGAAGATTTGAAAGTTGTGTACTAACTAAACGGCAAAAAACTAACACTACAATCCAAGCCAATTCCTACGCCTACCAGCTCAATATACACTTCATTAAAGAAATTATACTACATAAACAAATAAAGAACTATTTCAAAAATACACTTGCACAATTCTTTTCTTGAGACTCAAAACAACGTCAAAAATGAGCAGACAAAATGAAAATGAGGAAAAGACTAAAAGTATCCTTGATAGAATAAACTCAACTAAAATGTTTTTACAACAACTGCAAAGAACAACAAGAAAAATCTGACACTACATGCCTAATGCCCAGTCACTAAAGAAGAGTAAGAACTTCAATGACGGTAGAGAACAATAAAGAAAAGAAAACTATATAGTATAAATATTAGCTAAAAAAATAACTAGTTACATGACATACCCGTTTTTGATAAGCAACAAGTTTACACAACACAGGAACATTAAGCTGCTCAATAAAATTGAAAAGAACAACAAAATTTTGGACTCATGTAGGAGCTGTATCCGAAGGAGTATTGAACAACGAAAGACGATGCCTTAAGTTTGAAAAACGAGCAACAGGGTCGGAAATAATAACCATATGTAAATCTCTCATAGTTACACGCTTTGTACGAGGCCTTTGCACCTAAAAAAAACCACTATATCAATAACGTAACACATTCTTCAAAAGAAAAAAAAAAAACAAACAGGAGCAGAAAAGCCTGACGAAAGATTTTGATCTAAAGGGTTATTTGAATCGCCCCAGGTCCGCTTTTTAATACGTGTCCCACCAAGTGCTGCAATAGCTGCCGCATTTGCATCTCGATTTCTCGCTGCTTCCTGATCAGCCCTTTGCAGCTGAAGAAACAATTCATATAATTTTTTACCCCTTGGTCTCATCCAACACAATAGGGAATCTAAACAAATGAATCTCGTTTTCTAGAAAGTACCTGTTTTGCCTTCTCAACTAAAGTGTCTTTATCCTTGCCCTTGCTTTTGCTCAAACGTATCAAAGCTTCTTTCTCTCTGTTCTCCCTTTTCTCCTGCTCTTGTCTGTCCAATTCTTCTACAAATTTCAACTGCCTTCGGGTGTCATCAATTGCCTAAAATTTGAAACTCTGTAGGATCTTTCGTCCTAAAAACTACAAAAAAATAAAGTTGACAACAAGATGACTCACCTGATAACACGGATGGTTGCGTAAAGGCTCCAGTCGATGTTCCGTAATAACTGCTAACTGAGCCAAAATTCCTCGTAAACGGTGTTCTGCAGCTTCAGATATTAGCGTCAACACTTCATCCAAAGGAGGTCCACACTCCGGCAAAACTCGTTGTATCTTCCTGTAATTTCTTTTAAAAAACAAACGCGTGTATAAAATAAGTTGAAACAAAGCAGTAAAAGGCATAATTTAGTACCTTGTCAGGACGTCTCCATTCAACAACCTATACCTCACTTGGTTTGCCGGCAACACGCGTACCTCATTTTCACTTCCTAACTGTTCTGTTGTTTCCACCTGCGACTCTTCAGTCGGTTCTTGTTTCACGACAGTTATCTGCTGACTGTTAGCGACAACAATTTGAGGAGTACTGTTTGGTTGCGCCACCTAAATAACAGTAAAGTTTTTAAATAATAAATCAAGAGTAACCTAACAATATACGGGAAAAACAGGTTTGACCCTTTCAACCTGATAATTTGTTTGTGTATTAATTCTCTGCTGACTATTCGTATCCCACTGCTGCAACGGCTGCACTTCAGTAGTCTGAACAACTGCAGCAGATGGTGGACTTATTCCATCAATAGTTACCTCTCCTTTCTTGAGAGCTGCCCTTAACGAAGGCAGCGTCTGAAAAAATAAAATAAAAAAGACTTAAATAGCAATAGAACGGTTCTGTTTGCTTCTGTGATCCTAGAATTAATATTAATATGTTTAATTTCATTATTTTGAGAAAAAAAGTTATGAAAAATACTTTCTGCAAAAAAGTTAAAAGGTGTGGTTGTGCTTGTGACCGGAGTGCTTCTTGTAAACGACAGGTGAACACTTCGGGTTGCATCGTACCATAAATGACTTGCTAAAAATTTCAATATTTTACTGTGCTTGTTCAAACTTAATGAAACTCTGTTATGAAATTTATCTGCTAAAACCAAAAAGTTCAATCACAAAAGACTAAATTTTCTATGTTTAAAGCGTTATACCTTTCCACAAAATCTCGACAAAAAAAAAGTTTGAATATAAAATTTCCCCACCACCCAAAAAGGTAACGATACAGTAAACCTTCTTTTTTACTTTCTGCGGGAATAAATAGTTAGAAATGACGTGGAGGAAATTAAGTATTTGATTGAACAGAAAAAATTTTGTAGATTTTGAAAACTTTGTACATTCTACATCAATGAGAACTGAAACGATATGTGACAAAACGTACATTAACTAAATCAGTGACGCGGATTGCAGTCTGTTGTCCTTGCTGCTGTTCCGGTTGTTGAGATAAGTGAATTAAAGTTTTAAAGAACCTTGCACACTTCGAAACCATACACTGCGTCTCTTCCGACGAAGGTGTTGAAGAAACATGTTGCTGAGGCCGTTGAAGCTGCTGTGTCTGTTGAGGTTGTTGTTGCTGAGGTTGCTGTTGCTGTTGCTGCTGTTGTTGTTGTTGCTGCTGCTGCTGCTGCTGCTGCTGTTGCTGCTGCTGCTGTTGTTGTTGCTGCTGTTGTTGCGCCGTGGTCGCAGAAATACCAGTTTGGATTCCCGGTGGAGCTTAAAAATGTATTCCATAATTAAAAAAAAAAAATAGAGAAATAAAAGGATTTGTATGTTTATTTACAAAAAAATATTTCTGATTAACAATGAAAAATCTAAATCACCTTTTTTCGCCTTGTTTTTAAAATACACAATTTACTTAGTAATTATGGCTGAATATACAACTCATAAGAATAGAATTAAGTAATAAGAAAGAAATGTTAACCTTGGCTCATGATAACATACTGAACTTGTTGGATGGGTTGTACTGTTTGGCGCAACGGCGTACCTCCCATCATTTGCTGCGGTGTGCTTGGATTAAAATCATCTTGGTTTATAGCACGTGCATTGCCAAAAGTAGGTGTCGATGCCTAAATTCAAAAAAGCATCGTAAGGACGACGAATTAACTTTTGAGAAACCGGTGAAGAAGAAGCATCTGAATGTACATTTCAAAAGACAACGTTTTAAGCGAAAGAAAGAGACCGATGAAGTGAGTGCTGTATTTCTAGACCCTGTAGACCTAGAATTTTCGCCAATATGAGGTCCTGGGACTATCCGAAACCTCGGCGTACTTGTAGGTGGATGACCAACATTCTGTTGTGCGCTCTCTGCCATAAAACCTGGAAATCTAACTTATATGCCAAACGTATTAAACCGTATAGCTTCTTTAAAAGGATGAATTTGTAAAGATAAAAATAAAACTTTTGTACTCATCACAGATTTACAAAAATCAGCCTGAAATTGAACTCTTCGGGTCCGAAAATAGCGAAACAAAAAAAATATAACTATAATAAATACGTAACTACAGTTTGCCTTTTTTTTCGTTTCACACATTATTCATAAATAGAAACGCATATGTCATGCTAATGAGTTCAACACCTCAACAAGTAAAAAAAATTGAATAAACAAAGAAAAAATAAGCTGGAAGGTTTATGTGACAACACATATGAACTCTGATGATGGAGCAAACTGGAAGATCTACATAAACGGCATAATGGCAAAACGCCAACTGCAATCACTGATGGTGTACATTCTTCTTGAAATCAACTTTTTTGCACACTATACATTACCGTTTTCAATTCCATTATCCCGATCCGCAATAGCGCAAGTATCTTGGGTTGGCTGGATTCCAATTGCTCGCTAATTCCCTTCATTCGTTTTACCGCTGGGTTGATTTTCTGGTGTATGGTCTCTTGCGAGATGTTTTTTTTCTTTGCATCTATTTGTCCTCTTTAAATCACACATGATGTTTGGGCATACAGTTTGCCATCAGTTATGACTGGTAGTATCTTTTGTAAAGTAATAACGTCATTTGTTGACCCTGTGGTTTTTCTGCTTGTGACTGAGACTTGCTCTACGAGCTTTTTTGTATATTTAGTTTGCATATAGTGCTTTCGGAGGTTTGAGGTATAGCTTGTAATCCATTTTCCCATAACACTAATGTAATAATTCTTCAATAAAATGATATCTGCTTTGACCTTTTATGGAATAAGAAAGAAACGATTAAGATTACTGAAGAAAAAACAAGAAGAAGAAAATTGGTATTGAAGGTACAATATGGAAGAGATAGCCCAGCTAGAGGGCATATAAGTGATTCAACTTCTCCGACTCCGTTACTACATCTCATCAATGGAAATGTATGGGGCTAGATCGCGAGTTGAATTAAAAGCACGTTTTATCCGATTAAAACCATAGAACTTTGCAACTTAGCTTTGACAGTAATCTGAATGGATATTAATAGATTGGGACTGCGAAATCCAAGAAATCTGTTTTCGGCTGTTGAAGAATTTGTGTCTAATAAGGTCTTCCGCAATAGTTACTAATAGATTCCTAAAACTTGTTACCATTACCTCCAAAACATAAGAAGTAGTTTAAAGCGAAGGTTTGGAAAATCCTATTCTAGTAAAATTTGAAAAAAAATCAGATTAGATGTTTTTTAGAGAGGGAAATTGAAGCGACAAGGTTTTAACTCTAAAGGACCGAAAGTAGAAGTGGAAGTAAATACATCATTATTTTTACTTAAATAACGACAAAAAGATAAAACTTTTGTTAATTAACGTCTTAGCGTGAAATATTAGTAGCAGCGAATACTGCTTTTAAAGCTACTGGAAAGGGGACAAGGGACCAATCAGCAAAACAAAAAAAAAAAACAGTCAAGGATTACTTTCGATTTTAAAAAAGCTATAAGCAAGTAGTTCTAACCAGTATAATCGACGGAAAACACCACCTGCTTTTTAGTGGCACTGTACTGTAAGGAAGTGCATTTCTTCAGCTATCCCACCAATATCATTGCAACTAGAAAAAAATAGGCTAGATATATGAAAAAGCTTTTAGAGCTGATATAGATCTAAAACAAAAATCTTACGAAATTCATCGATTACATTATAACCACATAAAGAAGATCAGGAGCAAGATATGCTTATAAAAAACCATATTCTGCGTAAGACGCGTAAACTGCTGTAGAGGATTTATGATGAGGGATGAGACTCTGAAGGTTGAATCTGTTATAAAAAATAATACGCAAAGTAGAGATCTCTTTGGATTTTGCCAGCCCCAGATGGCTTAAGCTGTAACGAACTGCGGGACCAATTTAAAAATAAAAGCAGCTTACACTTCCTTACGTTCAAAAAAAATTTTTTTTGTTCATAAATATAAATTGTTAAAAAATGGAAGTTTAAACAGTCTTTCTCATTTCAACGCTGGGATAGTTTACAAAATGTTGACGGTAAAAGAAGTGTATAATGAAAGAAATTTTTTGCTGATATATTTTCAAAAGCGTCACATTTTTTTTAACTTTTTATTTTCATCGAAAGCACCCAGCTGTTAAAAGTAAGTAATTTTATAAAGAAAGTGCAACTTTTTTGAAAATTCCATTAATTTAATTGCTGTTATTTTAGATATCAGAAATAAATATTATTTAGTCTAATAATCACCAGCCAGCATACTTAGAATGTGGCAATTTTTATTGTGAGTAACATTGAAGTAAATCTGAATGGTTATTCTTAGATTCAAAAATTTTCAATTTCCTTGGTCATTTTAAAGAGTATAGCAAATTTGACTGCAGTTACCAATTTGGTATTTCCATTGATACTTTCTCAAAGTAAAATTCCTGAGAAGAGAAAGTAAAAGAAGTAAAAATTTTTTAAAATCAGTGGTTTAGTCAATAACGCGTCTTTGACTGAAAATTTCTAATGGAAACAACAAAATTTTCAATATGGTTATTATCATTATTATTTTGATTACTATCGTTACTATTATTGTTCTCATTACTATGATTATTACTTTTATTGTTATCACTACAAATGTTATTGCTGAAGGTTGAACATTCACAACTGTAAATGCGGAGCTTGGATTTTAAAATTTTTCAGGTATACTTGGCTACAAACCCTGTAGTAATGTTACTGTAGTTGCTCACTATTTTGTGCACGAATATTGAGATTCTAATGTTTTGTTGAAAACGATTTTTTTTTTTCCCACGTAATGAGAAACTGACAAGAATTACTGTTCTTTTTCATTGGTATGTTTTGAACGGGGAGTTCACACGAGATTTCTCATTAGACTGTAGCACCGTAAAAATTGTCACAGTATTAATTGATTAACTAGTCCGCTGGGTTATAGAAAGTGCTGAGGTCCAATTAAAACTGAAAAAGACAAAA